ACACACACACACACTCACAAATGGCCATCCCAACGGCGAGTGGGGGCTGGCAGAGATTCATTCAATTTTGCTCCTCTTAGTGGAAGTACCATGAGTCCAACGGGGTTATTGTTCACTTACTCTCTCTCTCTCTCTCTCTCTCTCTCTCTCTCTCTCACACACACACACACACACACACACACACACACACACACACACACACACACACGACATCACACACACACACACCTCCAAACACACAAAATACACAACGTTTCAGGTACATGCCTATTTTTAAGTTTCCAAAAGGGGCTGGACTTCATCCTTGCAGTGTACATACCATGTATCCCGGAAGGGGTGCCTCCAGGAGCACCGGCAATGGACCCTCCTTTAAGTACCTTATAATATTGCTTGTTCTTGTCCCTGCACATTGTTCAGGCAAAAGTTGACGTACACAGACAGCAACAGATCAGAGAAAAAGCTCTAGTCCAAGCAACAAGGAGAACGTACTAGCAAACCCTTTTCTTCATCGATCTGATCAGCCCCGGGTAACTCAGAATGATTTAATTCCATTAGTCAGGGTCCATCAGGATTCAAACTCAGGTCTTTATTTCTGAATGACTTGTCCATGAGTTCGATGAAGATTCAGGGCCGATCAGTCTCTGTCACGCAACAAGATTCAAACTCAGGGCTATGACAGAGACTGTTCCGTCAGGATTCAGAATGACTGTTCCGTCGAAGTTTCAAGTGACCTAGGCTCGTTGGTACTAGGACATAGTAGGAAACCCTTTTCACTGAGCCCTTAGACTCCTTATTATACTATGGCACATAATGGCAGATCAAGTGGACATTCTTACGCTGGAGATCCAATGTAGTGAGTTTTCAGTTTTGGCCTTCTTTTTTTTTTGGCTATGATGCTTTTTTTTTTTTTGATCAAGGGCACTTGAAATCTGAGTACCAGGAGGTCCAGTGTGCCAAGGCTGAGACTGGGCCCAACTAGAATGCCTGGATTTACCTCTGGGTACTATTTGAGTAACTGTGCTGCCTACCTTGTTTTCACACCAGCCTGCTACAGTCTTCCCCATTGTGACTGTGTTGTGGGCCTGCACCACGCCAGCACCCACCGACGCACCAACATTTTGTGGACTACTCAGCAGTGCTGTGCGTGTTCTAACAAAAGCATGAACCTTTCCACTTTTACGACCGGGATCATGCTCCCTGAGCCTAAACCTAGTCTAGTGAGCCTGCCTTTCAGTACAAAGGCCCAGGTTCTTCTCAGCGGTGTCGTGTGTGCACTAAAAGAAGGCATGAAAGCGGCCACCTTTAAGACCAGGATCATGACTTCTAAGCAAGAACAATAGCGCCAGCCGGATCCCTGTCCTGAATGCCAGTGTCAAGATGAATGTATGAAAAAGTGAGAAAAAGCACATAGAGAAGATCAGTGAATGAGTGAATGAGCGAATGATAGCTAGCACATACCATGCCAAAGAAGTGTCTTGTTGCCGCCAGAAAGAGTTTCAAGGCTTTCGCCTTCGCGATCCAAATAATGCACATCTTCCAGGCGCAAGGTAAACTCCTGCAGGCAGACCCACGGTGCACAAGAAAGAACAAGGTTCAGTCAATGCCATTGGAAGGAGTCATTGAAACTCCGACAGAACAGTCTCTGTCACAGCCCCTCGTCCGTTGTCCTCTTCTCCCTCTCTGCCTCTTCGGTTCACCGGGCAGTTTTCTTTGATGACCTGCTTGCTCATCTGCTGCTGCTGCAGTTGTCACAACTGGGGCACTAGAAACTGTAGCTGTGGAACTGCAGGAGATGGATCTGCCGCAGTAGGAACTGCAGCAGATGGAACAGCTGCAGTTCCTGGTGCCCCAGTTGCATCTGCTGCAGTTTTTTTTGCTGCGGCTTCCTTTGCTGCAGTTTTCACTAGAGCAGTTTCCACAGCTGGAGATTGCCCTACTGTGGTTTTCACTGCTACGACTTACTCTGCCGCAGTTCTAGCGCAGAGAACATCACAATTTCTCTGACACTCATGTCTTTTACTTTTGAACTCTTGCCCCGATCAACCCCGCCCCCTCTCATCTCATTCTGTGCTTGGGCTCTAGGGCTCTAGACGGCTGTGTTCCTCCTCGCCAACCCTGTCTCCTCCACGGTCTCTCGCTCACGAACAGTCTCTTGTTCCCGTTGTTCCCCTCATTCCACCTTCGTTGCCAGACACATGCTCATCTTCAGTCTGCCACACCACGACTCCTCGTATTGTGTATCGTCGACGGTATGCACTGCATCGTCCCTCGTCCAGGGATCACCAACCTGATCCTTTCTTTGCCCCAATTCTCTGTGCTTCTGCTCCACAGGCTGCTGCTGCTCCTTTGTTCCAAAGGACAATATCCGCTCTCTTTGCCCCCCCCGCAGACTATCCAACTTCCTGTGCGCAGCCACGAGAGTGTGTTTTATGCCCTACAGCATTGTGTTTTATCAACCTGTATATGCCCTACAGCATTGGATATTCATGAGTCACTTGAAGAGCAGGATATGATCCCCGCTCAGGATACCTTCATTGCTTCCTGAGTGGGAATATTCAAGGGGCAGTCTCGACTCAGGATGCAGCCCCAAACATCGAGGGATTAGAGCGTGATTTGCCTGGGCTGCCAATTTTTCCCACAAGGTGTAGACCACGTGGCGTTGCGTTAATGGCTGAGCCGCGAGTCTCTGCCCCATAAATGACTGACCAGCAAACAGCCCAGGACATTTTGAGCTTGCAACACCATCTGGGTGATCCACAATTTATTGGCCAGCATCCAGCACTCCACCCGCAGATCTCCCCAATCTCTGTGATCTGCCTGCAACTAATGTTTGTCTGCACATTCCCTCACCGCCGCTTTCTGCAGCATCCAATGTTCTTGCAATCGCCCTTCAGCTCGACGCTGGTCTTCCCTGCCTACAAGCAGAGGATGGTAATGATACCAGAAAAGAAGGCGTTACCATTGCTGTCCTACAAGTAGTAATGAGGGACCGCGAGTGGTTTCATCCTCCATCTCATGTATCTGCTTGCATTTCCATTTACATGGTCATTGTACATGCTTCTGATCGCTGGGAACATGGGACAATGGCACCCTGCTCCATGCTATGACCGATGTAGCTGATTTCTTACATAATGATGCTGTTTTTGCCAAAACGGACCGTCCACACCCTTTTATGTGGAAAATAATTTCTATGGCCCTGTGTCCCAAAAGGATAAGTGTAATATCAGTACAACCTTCTCCTTTGCACAGCTACAAACACTGTTTCACTGGCCGCAGCCGTCATGATCTCTATCACAATCACTACAATGACATGGTTTCTGCATCCATTTGTGTAGAGGACTGTCCCTCCTTTCCTGGCTGCTGGCGCCCTCCGCATCCAGACACCATTCGACATATTCGTCCGTTTTGTGGCCATGGGCGTTATATTGAATGCATGGTCCTTTGTGGTGCCCGTTCTTCCTCCATGTTGACTCGCGATCGACATGCCATTTGCCGAGAGTGTTTAGTGGGCATGCTTAGATCGGCAGTACCTTTCCCGGGAACAAAAAAGATTGCCTGCTGGTTAACACGGAGGCCGGCCCCGGGCACGCGCCCCGGCCAGATGCATCCCAAATGCTCAGTGCGCAGGGCCCATGACCGACACATGGGAATGGTACTGGTGGTTTAATGCCCCGGTCGTGGTTTTTTTTTTTTTTTTTTTTTTTTTTTTGAGACGATGCTCCAATCTATTCGTGGGGAGCAACACAGCTGGGAACTGGGCCCAGCGTCCCTTATCAGAATACAAAAATGAGCTACCGGGGCCATTACCCGGCTTCGGCTAAGAACGATTGAAGAAAAATGAAAACTCTAGAAACATTCGGAAAATGTGTGTCAACAAGCCTCCCAACCACAAATCAGATAGGTGAAACCTATTCAATCCACCTCCAACCACCACCAGCATGGTTATTTTCAGCACGAACCGAAGCTCTTCCAGGCCTCATGCTCCCATCAGGCTAGGTTACAGAGTTGCACCACCTTGCTCCAGCACCGGCCAGCACTGCTTCAGTTACGACCCCTGACGACCACTGCGACTGCCCCCGCAAACAGCCCCCCAGATCTCTCTACCAGGCCTCACGCCCCCACTAAGCTACGTCACAGAGTTGCGCCACCTGGCTCCGGCTCCGGCTCCGGCCAGCGTTGCTCCAGCATCGGTCTTCGAGGGCCACCAAATTTTCAACCACCCTACGTCACCTACGATGCCTGCCTGCCATGCCCCGGTCGTTGTGGCAATTGCTGCACTGAGAATGCTCAGCTAGGTCTTCCATGTCCTCATCCATCTCATACTTACAATGCATGGCCTCTCTCTCTCTCATCAAGGACAGACTGATTCCTGAGCCTTCTCTTATCCTTCCCTATGCTTTCATCTTCATTCTATACTTCTTACTTTCCCTTTTTTTCCCTTCCTCTTCCTTTGCTTCGCTGTCCTTTTCATCATGGTCTTCTTTCCGTCCTTTCTCTCTGTTTTTCCCCTCTCCTCTTACTCTGCCTCTTTTTCACAGCGTACAACCGGGTCATTATGGCACGCGGGGATGCAGACAGTTCACGCTCAACTCCATCAATGTGGCGAGCCTTCAACCTGAGAGGCACTGTTTCGTCGGGGTTCCACTCACTCGTCAGAAGGCTGAAACCTCTACTACAGTCTGCACAGTCCCCTAATCAAGGATACTGTCATAATCCACCTTAACCCTGGTTGCGGTCAAGCATTAATGACTTCCACACAACTGGCCCTCGAGGTACATATGAAAACCCTCTGCAGTCTACAGAGTCCCCCGTTTGTTGTCATGTTCTTCCCTTCAGCCTGCGTTTCACCCCGCAGCTCTCTTTTTACTCCAGCGATTAATTCCGATTCACTTTCCGTTTTGAAAGCTGACTTATTAAACTTCGGAAACCTCCAAAAGAAGCCAAAACAAAACCTATCCAAATACAAGAAATCAAAGGCAACTTCATTGCTGGGTAGGACGACGTACGCGTATGGGGTGCTATGTTTTAACACCCCGTATGCGTACTTAGTGGACTGTACTTCGTCGGCTCTACTTAGTAGACTGCAATACGTTGTACATAGTTAGAAGATAGACTCTACTTACTGGACTGTACTTAGTAGACTGTACTTACTGGACTGTACTTAGTAGACTGTACTTACAGGACTGTATTTACTGGACTGTACTTAGTAGACTGTACTATGTTGTCCTTAATATGGCATGTATGTTCTCTCTCTCTCTCATCAAGGACAGACTGATTCCTGAGCCTTCTAAGATAGACTGTACTATAGTAAGAAGATAGACTATACTTAGTGGACTGTACTTAATAGACTGTACTATGTAGACTATACTTAGTAGTGTACTTAGTAGAGTGTACTAAGTAGACTATACTTAGTAGACTGTACTTCACATGCTGTTACAAACAGGAGGATTGCCAACTCACAGTTACGATAAGAGGAAACTACCTTCTCCTCCCAATAACAGCTGCAGGACAAGAACAAACTTACCCCATCTCTGAAGATGACTGGATCTAGTGTTCTCTCCAAATAGCGCTTCACCATGGCATAGTCTGCACCCTCTTTGTCTAGAGGAGTTATCTTGCACTCCAGCTTCAGGTACCTATTCATCATCGGGTCGTCGCCCATGTCATTCGTTAAGTCTCCGATTAACTTTGACGCGACACCAACGTCACGCAGCATCTCCAATGCGCTTCCCTGTCCAGATACAAACAACAAAGTGCAAGTCGGTCAAGCGGGTCTTCACATACAAGATCGACACAAGCACACAAACAAGTAATTGAGACTCTTTGAGAGTGGAAACTTTTCTGTGATAAAACAGTCTTTACAGCCTTTGGTAAAAATATGGAGGGGGGATAACGAAAAATAATACAACAAACGGATGGCCCTGTCTTCCGGTTTGCTTGCGTGGATCGTCTTTTCTGAATGATTTCCTGAAAAAAAGTTTGTTATCCTACCGGTACTTCGGAGCCTCTTTTCCTCAAGGAGGATTTGTGCTGTTGCACCAGCGAAAAAAGAACAGGCATGGTGGAGGTTTTCTGCGTTTCGGCTGGCGCCACCAGCCAAGAACATCCCGTAGGCCGAGCCCCGAAAGAGGCGGCACATATACGGCTGTGCGGGAAGAAAATAGCTAAGTAAGAAATGCACTGGCAGTTGAACGAGAACTCCCGCTGCAATCAGATCCCTTTATGCATCTAAAAAAAAAAAAAAACGATGGCTGTGATGGATGTAATGGCAGCTGTCATTCTGTGCAATGCTTCGGTCAGATCCCGTTCTATATGGATGATGCTCTTGGTGCTCTGTCGTCACACACACCCACACCCACACACACACACACGCGCACACGCACACACACACACACACACGCACACACACACACACACACACACACACACACACACACACACACAGAGAGAGAGAGAGAGAGAGAGAGAGAGAGAG